GAGGTCCCTAACTGCAGATTTTCCCAGTGCATTACATCTCTTGATTTCCTAACTGCTGGTACAAAGGGTGTTATTTAAGAATCCAAGCAAGCTGAAGCTGCTGACAGTATCAGACTCTTCTCCATGTATTGTCTTCAGTGCCCATAATTCTTAAAATAAAATTTAGCATTTGTTATTAGCTTTTTTTATTTATTTTTTTTTAAAAAGCTAGCAAGCAGCCACCCCCCAATACAGCACCTAGAACAGCACAGGGAGGAGAGCCGGGACCTGAAGGTAAATGGGGATATGTGTGACTAATTGCCTCCACGAACAACTTCCTCCTTTGCTGTGAGACCAGAAGAACTTAGGTGGTACCAGACGACTGTTACTATAAGCATTTTAATCAAAGATCCCATTGAACAATCTTCATCACAAGAGGGAAAACGCAGAACAAAATTTATAACGCTACTGGATTCTACACTTTCTGGAGCCACAGAGGGAGGATGAACTCTTAAACTATTGAGATCATCTTTAAACCTTAAATCATAAGCATCCCCTGAGGTCATCTTAAAACCACAAGATGGTTTACCTTAATTAGTAAAAACCTTGAGTATTATGCTTTTTAAAGAACTGAGATCAAATAGGCAGCAGCTCCTTAAAAGATTAGATAGCAACCTTAGAGAAAGTGCGTTTATGTTACTGGAGGAATAGGTATCTTTCTTTAAAAGATTTTAACAAGCAGGGGCTTAGAAAGAAACTCAACATGCAGTTGCAGCTAATTAATGTTCATGAGTACCCAATAGTGGAAACAGTCTGATACATTCATTCATTTAAATATATCCATAGTTTAGAGTAGAAAAATGGTGTGCCCAGTTTTATACATGTTTCTTCTGTATCTGCTCATTCCCGAAAGGGCAAAACCAGATTTTAATATGGTTTTTAATGTGGTTTCTTCCTTTTCTGGTGCAGGCCTCTTTTAGAGGGGAAGCCAAGGACTTAAATATAAAATAATAGATGATCCCACTGTGTAATAGATCTCTCATTGCTGTCAAGTCAGAACCAACACAGAACTGTCCCTCCAGCGAGATTTTCAAGGCTGTAAACTGCATAAGAGGAAAGTGCACATCTCTCCCCCTCAAAGACGCTGGTGGATTCGAACTGCCTACCTTTGGGTTGGCATCACAAGTCCCTACCCACTAGGCCAGTTTCCTCATAATCACATATTTATCATACCAGAAATCAGTGCAGCAACACCTTACCATAACATAAATAATTCTTAGCATTTTTATGTGACAAGATAGATTTTCTTTTTTTTTATTCTTTTTAAAGCACAATTTTTAATCATGTATATTTTATATTGAGTCAATAACTGTATTCAGGTAGTGTGTATTTTAAGGCACATTTTTCTATTATAAATAATATATCCTTTACCTCCATCTCTGATTGTACCTTTTATGGCAGTTACTAGAAGGATGAGTAGGTCATACTTTTTTTCTGGAACATCAGTTTGTTCTCTCTCCCGTGTTTCTAAGATAGTTGCTTCTGGATCCTCCAGCTTCCTCTTAACTCCAGCTGGGTCCTAACAGCCCTGGCGCTGGCCTGCATTGCCCAGCCTACCATCCCCAGAGCCAGCACCCCACCATTTCATGGGTACACAGCACTTGAAGAGGACAAAACCTGAGTAATTCAGTATATATGGCCAGAAGCCATCTAGATTTGCAATAGTGTGATTATTTTGGAACTCTTAAAAATAGAGCTGAAGCTTTACAAAGTAACAGTTAATTCTGATTACCCTCAATGTCTCTGGGCTCCTTAAGTGGATTGTTATAATAAAACTGTGTTTATGGTGAAGACATTAGTAATTACACAGCTTGGGTGGGAAACAAAGGAACACAGGCCACTGTGGTGCCATCAGCCAGTGGGAGAGAAGTGTGTGTTCACGTTTCCTGTCTTCTTCACCACGTTCCTCGAACACCTTGTGGAGCCCTGGGCCTTTTGCAGTTTGTATGGATTTCATTAGCAAGGGTGACAAGGAGCACAGGCTTTCGGTGCTTTGATAATAATGAGTCGTAAATAGGACCAGGGATAGAGACAGCATTTATAAAACTGTCAAAGATTTTTTGGTAATAAGTGTATACAGCTATCCTAATATATCATAGCAAAATGAAACTCCCATCAATGATGTAAACACTTAACTTTGATTTCTTAGAGGCTGGAAATGCATTATTGTCAAATGTAAACTTTTTTATTACTGTTTTTGGCCAACATATGTTATTCTCAAATGATGGGCGAGAGCGTACAACCACAGGCATTTTGGACACTTGAATATTCTTTTATTTATTTATTTTTTCGTGTGTGTGTGTGTGTGTGTGTGTGTGTGTGTACGTGTGTACACCATCAAATCGGCTCTGACTGGTACAGGAGGATATTGTCCCTCCTTCTCCAGCAGTGTATCTGGTGGATTCAAACCATGCACTTCAGGGATTGCAGTGCAGCTTCTTGCCACTGGGCCATCAGAGCTCATACACTTGAATATTCTTATTTTACAGAAATACATTAGCAGGGATAGAAAATAGTCTCCATTCCCATTTATTCCAACTTGTGCTGAAGTTTTCAGTTCTCTTTGAGAGTGGTGATGATGCGTTCGGCATCTGCTAATTTAACGTCTCATACCTTATTAACAGGGAGTAAGAGCGCGAAGGTTCAGTCGGGGATATTTGGGAAGGGATCCAGATACTCAAGACACAATGCCGAAAGACTTTTTAAAAAGCTTATACTTGACAAGATTTTGGATGAAGACCTGTACATCAATGCCAATGACCAAGCAATCGCCTATGTGATGCCCGGAGCAAAAGCCCAAACTGTGCTAAATGGACATTTAAAGGTATGGTCCTTAAAAAATGTGTGCTGTCTTTTATTACCTCGCAGTGAGGGGATGAAAATGCATGACTCTAAGTTCTCCATTTACTTACATGTCCTGTCTACCACAAGCTACCAGGGACTCTGCCAGCGCTCCATCCCATGCTGTGCTGCTAATAAAAAGGGCCTCGGGGCTCCTGCAGTTCAGATCCCCCAGTATCTGACTCTTCTTATGATTTAGTCTCCAAACCCGACAGAGGGTTGCTGTGAGTTAGGATCAGCTTGATGGCATTGAGAGTGGGGAGTTGTCAGGTGCTGAGTGACAGATCAACACAGCGGCCTGTCCCACGCCATCCTTACATTCCCCACTGTGCTCAAGCCCGTTGTTACAGCCAGCATGCCGGTCCTTCTCCATGAGGGCCTTCCTCTCTTTCGCTGGCCCCCCCACTGCTCTAGTCCTGATGCCTTCTCCCAAGAACTGGCCGCGCCTGACAACATACCCAAAGTACAGGAGACAGCGTTTCACCGTCTTTGAAGGGCATCCTGGTTGTGCTTCCTCCCAGACAGACGTCTGCTATGAAAATGTTCTCTACTTGCTAATTTAGAGATCTCAAAACTGAGCTCACGTAATTATAACTAACACCACTCAAAATGAATATAATAGTTCATTAAATCTTTGTATATTCACTGAATATATATTTACAAAGAGGTCATTCTGTACCAGGCCCTTGAGATATAAAGGTGGAAAATGCATAGCCCCTGTTCCCAGGGACTTGCTGGCAACTTTGGCAGAACAAAAAAAAAAAAGCTACTAACATTAAATGAGGTGGCTCTGGTGGCCTACTGATAAGAAGCTGCACTGCAGTCCCAAAAGCACGTGGTTCAAATCCACCAGCTGCTTCGCGGGAGCAGGACAGACAGTATCCCCATGTGATTAACTGTCTCTGAAAACCCCACAGGATGGTCAGCTATGAGTAAGTTCCAACTCTGTGGTACACAAAAACAACATTAAATGAAGTCTCTAGGGTACAAATGTTCCCATCCCCGACTCTTAGACTTTCTCTCTCTCTCCCACAAAGGTAGACTTTATGGAAACGGAAAACTACAGCAGTGTGAAAAAGCAGAAAGCTTTGGAGGCCAAGGTCTCTCAGAGGGAAGAGATAGTTAAGAAATGTCTTGGAGAGCTTACAGAAGTCTGCAAGTCACTGGGGAAGGTTTTCGGTGTCCATTACTTCAATATTTTTAATACTGCTACTCTCAAAAAGCTTGCAGGTAGGCCTCTGGGACATGGTGTGCTTAGCGGGTCTGAAGCTCGTCTTGCTAAAACTTCTTAAACACATAAATAAGTCTTCATTATTATCATTATGAATATTATTATTACCCTTTGATCTCTGAATTGAAAGCACAAAGAAACCATTTGAAGTCATTCGTGAGATAAAATTTCTTCTTTGAGATACATACAGTGTCATTATCTAGAAATTGTTTCATTTTAGACTTTGGTTTAATGCTGGGCATTAGGCTATTATCATTTCAGACGCCAAAATGATAGTCATTCTATCACCTGATGACCTTGTGCTGATTATTTGCCGTCCTCGCAGCATTAAGCAATGTCGTACCCACATGATCTGCAATGAAAAGCCAAGTTCCTTAGGAAAAGAGGTTGTGTTTTATGCTTCTTTGGACCCTGACCTCGCACCCCACTATGTCTTTAATTAATATTAAACACTTGCCGATCTCAGTTACTTGCCTGGCTGCAAATAGCTCTGCTTCTAATCTCAGTTGGTAAAATCCCCAGAAAAAAAAGCAGGTAGTTCGCACAGGAGACTGGCTGGTCTAGATCACCTCCCCTGTCACCTCATAACAATCTCTTAATCATCACCTTCCATTTTCTTCCCCACTCCACCACCGCGGGCCCTCTCAGTGTGTCATCAATTCTCAGATGCCATCTATTTAAGACTCTTATTTTATGGGACTATATTATGAAAGAAAAAGAACTCTTTAAAATATGATAGGGTGCATTTCCTGAAAGAATTGGAATCTTTTTCTACTTTAGAAGTATATTTGTATCATATGTATATGCACACATAAAATCAGAAGGAATTGGGTTTAGAGGTGAAGCACGTGGTTGTTGCTTTCAAGAAACTACGCAACTGTGGTCATTTCCTCAGAGACAAGATACTTGCTCTGTAAATTCCAGGTGTATGTGCCCTGTTGTCATCTCTGCTCCTTTGCACTGAGTCACATTTTCCTTTCAATGTGCTCATCACAGTGTAGTGTGTTTGAAGACATTCCGTGTGACAGTTGAGCCTGTGAGGAGGCAGCAGTGCAGGGACTGTTGACGTGCCGACAGTAGTAATAGCTGTGACTAAGTTCTCACACGCACAGGCGGCCGCAGCCTCATTACCACTGCCATTTGGCCGTCAACAGCTGGAAGGCACATCTCAATTTCAGAAATGCTAAAGTGTGAACAAGCATCTCAGAATCAGTGAAATACAGTATTTTATCCCTACGTCATTCGGGTAGTTTCGTAACGCGTATCCATACTCTCCAGATGTGATATGCATAAATTAAAAAAAAAATATAAATAATTGCATTTTTCTGAAACAACAACAGCTCCCCAGTTCAGGGTAAAGTACCAGTTCCATTAAGGCTCTGCATTTCTGTTTGCCTCTCCCACTTTATCTTCCACTAATTCCCTTTATAATAAATAAACTCTGTCCAGCAGAATGATTCCTTTTAACGAAACAGAAATGATATCAAGATCACATGTGTGATATCAGCCATAATTGGAGGAATTATTACTCCCTCATTCGCTTCCCATGAAAATAGAAAGCCTTCCCACCCAGCCGGATCTCTGTTCACCGCCCTCCTACTGCCTTCCTGTTGAGCCCGGCCTCACTCAATCCTACCTTAGCTTCTGCCACGCTCCTAGTCTCCACTCTTTTCCCCTACGATCCATTTTCCCTACAGCAATCAGAATGATCTTTAAAAACAGACTTATCCAGTGACAGGCTCGTGTGCCATCATTTGCAGAGGGCGCCTAACTTAACTGCCTGCTTATAAGTCACAGCAGAACGTGTGTTTTGTCGCACACTGGGAAAGACTGGAGGAAGAATAGTTTCAGAATGGCAGGGGGCAAGAATCTAGATCTGGCCTTAATAAGTAGTTGTTCAGGTCTGAAGTGTGGGGAGAGAGGTCAGCGCTGGAAATCAGACTGGAGGCCTTTTCAGCAGCTAGACAAGTCTCTAGCAGACAGACTTGTGCAAGAAAAAACTCTCGCTCAGCCCCTGAGGTTTTCACACGCTCCCTGTCCACACGCGTATTCCCTGCTCACACGCCGTCTACTCCTTCCCCCTCTCCCCTGACTTTTGCACCGTTGCTTCTGCAATTGCTGTGCCCAGTCTTCTCCCACTAATAATGACAACTTGGCCATTTAGAGGATTGGCCCTTGTGCCCGGGGCTTTGCAGTTAGTTGGCATTTAACGTGCTGGATGAGTGAATGAGCATGAGTTCAGTGGGTTTTCTATGAGCAGTAATTTAAATTCCTAATTTTATTCCCATGCGCAGAATCTTTATCTTCTGATCCTGAGGTTTTGCTTCAAATTGATGGTGTGACTGAAGACAAACTAGAAAAATATGGTGCCGAAGTGATTCCAATATTGCAGAAATACTCTGAGTGGACACTGCCAGGTTCGTTACACGGCCAAAATGTGTTTTCCAAAAGATTGTCCTAACACTAAGTGGTGCGTCTCACTCTGTTAGAAGTCTCTGTTTTCTGGGTTGTGTTAATACTTCCTCCACATGAACACAGAAGCTCAAGGATGCTGGGCACCTTGGAGAGGCACCCAGTGGTTAGGCCCCCTGGTCCCAGTTACTGAACCTACTCATAGGTCCCTAAGGGACCCTTAGGACCCAGAAGTTCCCAGTTATGTAAATGCGCATGCCTGGGGGGCTCAGGAACTCAGGGTGCTGGTCTCAGATCTGTTTGGTCCTTGGCAAGCCACAAGTGCCTCCTTGTACTTGAGTTTTCTTATCTGAGGAAGAACACATTATCTGACAAGTATGTCAGAAGATAAAAGAGGAGAGTTTACATCGTTATGGAAAATTGAACATGTCATTGGAATGCTCATCAGTCTTATTGTTATTAGTCACTGAAAGACTCTGCCCTCAGTGCATCCTTAACAGCCACTCCCCAAGGTTGCATTCAGCACTGTCATGTCTAACCTCTAATTACCAGGCTCATCCCAGCTTGACTAAGAGGAGAATGGAGAACAAAGGGCTGACTGTTCTGTGGGAGATGGTAAGAGTGCAGAAGCGGGTGCCCTCCGCTGACAGCCTTGTACTGAGACACAGTGGAACAGCCAAAGAAATTATTTTCACCATTTCTGTAATGACCCCCAAAACCAAAAACTCGCCACCATCAAGCCCATTCCATCTTCTGTGTGACCCTCTGAGGAACAATTCAATCTTAGATCTGGAAATTCTTGACAGGAGCAGACGGCACATTTTTCTCCCACAGAGAACAATTCAAACCACCAGTAGATTCGAACTGCCAGAGACACAAGTCCTTTGGTGAATAGCACCACACACTAGAGAGCCCCAGAGCTCCTTTAACGAACCCGGCAGGCCTCCTAGAAGCTGTACGCAGGGTGAGAGTGAGCAAAGATTTCAACTTGTCTCTCCACAGTCATTTTTTATCCACTAACAAAATGCTGAAAAGTAAGGTTTCATTAATTCTTCAATGTGGTAATTATTCCATTAAAAGCCTTGCTGTGGATGCATTTGAAGCGGGAAATAATCTCTTGGTAGGACTTGTCACTGGTGTAGTGTAGTCACTGGTGTGGAAGGGGGTTTTGCCAACATCAGACAAGGCTACTGAGCGGAAACAGCTCAACAGTGATGATAACTGCGCGTTTGCAGAAGCTCAGGGTGCCGGCACTGTGCCAAGCAGCTTGCCTGTTTTGTCATTTAATCCTCACAACACCCATATCACAGGAGGGGAGAGTGAGGCCTTCTCATTTTCTCCAAGTCCCACGGCGAGGCTGGCAGAGCTCCTCGCCCTCAAGCTGCACACCCTCCCCAGGGACCCCGTGACAGACTGACAAGTGGTCCAAGGCCCAATCCATGCCTTGTCGGCCTCCAGTGTGAACGGGACCATCGGGGAAATGCCTCCCTTCAGAAAACGGAAAAGCGCCCTGTGTGACAGGCCAGTAGGAGAGCTGGTGATTTGGGGGTGCCTTAGGATGCAAGTACCTTTGGAAATTATCATCCTCTTCGCAAATGTATGCTTTTATAAAGACTTGCTTCCTGCATAATATATGAGATGTTCACACTCTTCTGCAAACAAGTGTTTTTAATAAGAGTAAAATATGGCCTAGAATTCTCTGATGGTTGTTTACTAAAATAACTATTGTTCAGGGATGAGGTACAGACCATAGTTATGTTTCTTACTCCTGATTTATCCTTTTTTGCACGTTTTTAATTTTTTTTAAGTGCCTAGCATTGATATTCCACTTTCTAGGCTTCAGATTGCTTAGCAGGATTAAGTACACAATCAGTAAAAGAAGTCTGACCCTGCACAATAGTGTGATCACAACCTGAGGTCTCCAGGATCAAAAGTTCTTAAACTTTTATTAAAAATAGTCCTTGAGCACCATGGGGCTTTGTGAAATTAAAAATAAATAGTAAGAAATGTTCTGTTCTCGGTGAATTGTTGAATCTGTAGGGAGATGGCGGGAGGGCGCCCAGCAGGCAGGTGAGGTGGGACCTCTGCTTTTTGTCTTCTCTGCTTTCTGATGTTTGTCTGCATGCACGTGGTGGACAGCTGCGTCCAGCGAGTCCTACCCATCAGACCCACCTTGTTCTCCTTTGTAGATGAGGACAACTCCCCCCGGAGGAGCCTGACCAGCAGCAGAGGCTCCGGGAGAGACGCCTCTGAGGAACTAGATGAGGAAGCTCCTGTATCTTCTCACTATTTTGCAAGTAAAACCAGAAATGAAAGAAAGAGGAAAAGGATGCCAGCCTTCCAGAGGTCTAAAAGGAGAAAGAGTGGTTACGGTGCAAAAGGGTATGTTCTGCGGTATCTTTTGCAATATGGGGACAGAAGGGAGAAGGATACAAAAATATAACTGGGGGGATATAAATCTAATATTGTTGTATACTGTAGAGTCTGAACCGACCCGTAGCTGACCCTCCAGCGGGTGTTCAGAGGCAGTTAATCACACAGGAGAGATTGCCCATCCTTCTACGGAGCAGCTGGTAGACGTGCCTTCAGGATTACAGCCCAGCTTCTTGCCACTAGACCACTAGCATATGTAACTGCTTTGGTCCGCTTTGAAGCATTTATCCAAATAGTCAAAAGCTACCGCTGTGGAGTCAGAACTGACACAGAGCTGACCTCCCAGCTGGTTTTCAGAGGCTATATATCACACGGGAGGAGGGGATTGCCCATCTTTCTCCCCTGAAGCAATTGGTGGACTCGAACCACCTGCCTTTGGGTTGGTAGTGCAGCTCCTTACCCACTAAGCCACTAGACCGCCTTTTACTAAAATAAGCCATTATCAAATAATTGCCTCTGTGGTGGCAATTAAGTGTGGAGTAATAATTAAGTTTTAATCCATTTGTTTTTAATTTTTAAAATATCCATATCTAAAATATATTATGTAAAAAAAATAAATAAAAACCAAACATTTTTTTTATTTTATTATTTTTGTGTGTGTGCATGTACCATCAAATCAGATCTGACTGGTACAGGAGGAGATTATTCCTCCTTCTCCAGCGGAGCATCTGGTGGATTTGAACCGTGCACCTCTGGGATTGCAGTGCACCTTCTTGCCACTAGGCCACCAGAGCTCGCCCAAATATTTTTTTGGAGAAAATACAAGCAGGTGTTCCTTAAAGGCAAGGATGGTACGTCTCACATACTTTGGGCCAGTCCTTGGACAAGGACATTGCTGGGAAAGTGGGGAGTTAGCCAAGGAGAGGAAAACCCTCAACGGGATGAACTGCCCCAGTGATTGCACCAGTGGCCACGTATATCAGAGTTGACGAGGGTGACACAGGACAGGGCAGGGTACGCATGTCTTGTTCATAAGGTCATGGTGAGTTGTAGTCAACTTGACGGCATCTAAGTAGGTGATGACTAAAGTCCTGTCCTCATTTTTCTTTTACCTTAGTATTTGGTTTGTTGGTTTGGTTTACATATTTTTTTATTTTGGTTTTTTTTTTAGATATTTTAACATTTGGGTTTTTTTATATCACTTTTGTTGTTTAGTTGTTTGTGCCATTTCTCTTAAGAGGCTTCCCTACCTGAAAGACATACCGGAGCCAAACATAACAAAGGGCAGCTTTGTCTCCTCACAGATTTTGCACTTCTGTCATTCCTTAGTGCATTGTCTGACTGCTGCAAAATCCTACCCACCTCCCGCGAGGCCGAGCTCCCTGCCACTCTTCCAGAGCCTGGGAGATTCTGCCTCCTGTCCCATGCAGGAGAATCAGAGAAGGGACTGAATGACTGAAATCAAAAGGTCCGTCAGTCCAGGCACCTTCGGGGGCCTCACCAGTGGCTCAGGGCCTGCCTTGCCTCCTGGCTGGGGCCGCGGCCACCCGCCAAGGACGCCATTGTTGAGCCCTGTGCCATGACCTTGGCACTTCCTCCTCATCGTACTGTTTCTCCTGGCCACCCATTTCCTGGCTTCTACAAGGGCGCCCTTGGTGAGGTCCCGCTGGTTCGTGGGCGCCCCATGACCCCAGGAAAACTGCACACTGGAACAGACCTGCTTGCTAAAAGGAAAGCAGGTTTCCTGGGAGCTGTGCGAGCTGTCGTGTCTCTTGGGCCCTTCTCCTACCTCTCCTCCTTCTGGTTGTAAAAAACAAAAATCGAGTGGAAGAAAAGGACAGGAATGCAAATGTTACCAAGTTGTCATTTTCTCATTAAATCTGTAAAGCAAACATCTTGTATGTGCTAATCCTCCTGCCAGGGAACAGAAATTAAAGGCATTAGTGAATGTTAGTTTAATTTTTGTGGTTTTTCTGAGGATGCAACTGACCAGCAGATGTTCTTCAGTGGGGACATTTTCTTATTTTCTTTGTTTATTCCTTCATTTTGGGAAACATTTTTTCAGGATCTCACACCAAACAGAAGGAGACCTTAAAAGGCATCTGGTCTGTCCCCCTCAGGTCAATAAAGAGGAGGCTGAGGCCTGGCCTGGCCTGGGAGGCTCGGCTGAGCCACCCACACCTGACTACACCCAGGACTGGACACTGCAGAGGACCCACACCCCAGAGCACTTTTGTTTTTGCTTGTTGCTCGGGAATAATCCCTGGAGAACACTGTCTTCCAGCTCAGTTTTATGTAATTGTTAGAACAAAGTTAGTCATGTGTTTAAGAGGAGAGCGCTGTGCCCTGTCACCTTGGGTGAATCAAGTACAGTGGTGAGATGCTCCCTTATCTAAAGGCCTTGACTGGGCTGAGGCTGGTTTCTAATTAGCTGATCTATTTAAAATGGGATTTCTTTCAAACCCCAGCAGGCTAAAATCAGTATGTTTTTATAACTCTTTTTTTTTTTTTTAAATTCTCATAGCAGCCTCTTATAGAAGGAGGGAGGAGAAAAGGTTAACTACCTACCTGTCTTTTTGCCAGAGTCCCAGTCCTCTTGGTTCCCACACCTGGGGTGTGCTCACCTGGGGCGTGCTCACCTGGCGGCACATCCCTGGGCACTGGGAATGGAAGTGGCACCAGGCCAGGGACCTCAGTGCTCCAGCCACCTTCTCACAGCTTCCAGGCCACACACAATGAGCCAGTGTGTCCCAGCCCCAGAGTGGGTGTCTGAAGGGTGGCCTGTGGGAAGGAGCTGCTGTTGGCAGATTCATTCTGTAAATCAACATCAACAGCAGATTTTCGCCCCAGGCTTAATATCTCAGCAGGAGCCCAGCCCAGGGAAAAGAAGGGTGTTCCCTTGCCAGGTCTTTGCCATGTGGTGCAGTTGAGATTGCCCTTCAGCAAGAGTTTAAGAATGTTGAAAAACCACCCTTTGCAGAGCCACACGCCCCCTTGTTGCACCCACAGGCTGTGGTCCATGTTCTGGCCTGGAATTTAGAGATGGGACCATCACATGACTATCTCATGCTGTGGAGTTTGTGCTGCCCGTAAATTCCACCCATCTGCACAACACCAGAAACGGCTTGTGTAGATACACTGCCCTTATCATGGAGGCCTTCTGGGCCAGGGCTGGCAGGGCGGGGGAGGGGACTCTTATCTTCCTGTCCCCTGGAGAGCTGAAGTGCCGGAAGTGGACGCACTTGGTGAAGGGCAGGCCTGGGCCTTCTCCCCTGTTGTGAAAGATGTGGGTGGGGAGGGGCACTGCCATGTGGCTTAGAGGAAAGGCCAGCCTTTCCAGCCAAACTGCTGGAGCTGCAGCTGATGGGGACAGGTCAGGTGGAGCCTGGGGGCCACATCTGCAGCCTCTCTCTCTCGCTTGGCAAAGAGAAGGCTCATTTCACCTACCGTCAGCAGCAGCCAAGCACAGACCACCACATTCAGTCCCCCACCCTGCTCTATCTCTGTTTACCCATAAAACCCATCTTCTCTGCACTGTGAAGTGTGGTAATCCCACGATGCCAGTGGTCCAATGATGTGGGGCCTTGAGACAAACTGTTTTCATTTTGTTTGGTTGGAGCAAGTCAGAGTTTGTGGATACTGTCATCTGAGGGGGAGGGACCTGGTTATAAGCTGGGAAAGGTGTGGGTAGGAAAAGGGCCCCTGGGACTTTTTTACAAGTCACAGAATGGAGAAGCCATCAGGCACTTCAGAAAGACAGTGTGTAAGTACCTGGAGGGCAGCAGCCCTCTGCCCTTCTCAGTGAAGGGCGCTCACCTGTCCCAGGCGACTGCTGAAGCGTAGTCTCATAGGATGGAGATGGTGGTGGACTGGAGCTCCAGGTGGGAGACAAGAGAGAAGACTGTCCAATTGTTTTATTTAACATTTTAACTTTTTTTTTTTCTTCTGTCACATTTCAGAGGGTCCACCACGTGCAGAAAGACAAAATCCTCGGACACATTTGGCTCCAGCTCAGCGTGCCTTGGTTCTCCGCCGACTTCAGTAGCCAGTAGGAAACTGGGGATTATGGCTCCACCAAAACCTAAAAATAGACCATTTCTTAAGCCTTCATATGCATTTTCATAACAACCAAGTCACAGTGTATAGGGATCTGCTTTCTTGTTTGTCAGCATCTGACCATCTGGGGCTGTAAAACTGTTAGTACACCATTTGTAAAAATGGGTTGTGTTATTTGGGGTTGGTTGTTTTTGTGGGTTTTTTTTTAACCAAGTATCTATTAATATTTAAATAAATGCTTAGAGATGATAGTTGTCGTTTTTAAAATAAACACTTTTCTTCTGAATAAGCATGGTTTTCTGTGACTGCGAGTGCTATGGCAGTAGTTTCGACAACGCCTGAACAGCGGCTGAATCATCCCAGAGAGTGAGCTTCTGAGCGCAGTGTGAAGCCGAAAGGAAAGGCTCACGTGTGTGAAACCGCAAGACTTGTTCATTTCTTTTTTTATTTGAATTGTGTTGTGGAGGATATACACAATGAAACACGCACCAATTCAGCTGTTGCTCCACGGACAGTATAATGACAGGGGTTACGTCGAGTTATGCAACCACCCCCCCCCTTTCTGAGCTGTTCCTCGCCCACAGATGTGAACTCCCTGGCCTCCAAGCTTCCTATCTAAGTTTTCAAGCTGCTCTCGTCACTTTGATCCCATTTGGGCAATTTGTAAAGAACATAATGCTCAAGACGGGCATTCTTTACTGATTAAGCACAAGGAAGACCAAAGAGGAATGAATGGATGGCCTTTAAATTGTGCCACTGGAGAAGAATATTGAATATTCTCCCTGGACTGCCAAAAGGAGAGACAGATCTGTCTGGGAGGAAGAGCATCCAGGCTGTTCCTTAGAGGCGAGGACGGTGAGGCTGCATCTTAAGTCCTCTGGGCATGTTGTCAGGAGGGAACAGTGCTTGGAAAAGGACATCATGCTTGGAAAAGTAGACGGTCAGTGAAGGAGGGGAAGCCCCTCAGCGAGACAGTTCGACACCGTGACCGTAAAGCAGGCTCGAGCAGCAGGGATTTCAAGGGTGGGCAGGCTTGAGCAGGGATTGTGTCTCTTGTACACGGGATGAGTCAGACTCAACTGGAGAGATGTCCAGTCATGTGAAGATTACCCAAGAGCACAAACTCAGGAAGAGACATCCTTCCACCTGAGCGGGAGGAGGAGGGCTCTCCTCTAGAGCCACCTCCCTGAATCAAGACCTTTAGCTCCTAAACTGAAAAACAAAACTTCTGTTTATGAAAGCCACCCATTTAGTGTATCTCTCCTATAGTGGTTTTAGACAACTAAGACATCTTTGTGATAGAATTCTTCTCTAGCATCTTCGATTAGAATGTTTAGTATAGGCACCATCCAGTTCTGGTCTCCTGGCAAAGTCAGGTCATGGAGGCAATTAGTCACAGCCTGGAAGACTGTATAGCAATCCCTACAAAATTTTAAAAGTAACATAATCTATTACAATGGCTTAACATGCACAACGGAACTTACAAATCATTAAGAAAAGGCCCACTCAGTACAAAAATAAGTTGTTGTTGTTATGTGCCGTCGAGTCGTTTGCGACCCTATGCACAACAGCCCTAAAACCTGCTCTATCCTGCGCCAACCGCACCGCCTCTGACACACCCATCCCGATTACCCCAGTCACCGAATCAATCCATCTCATAGAGGGTCTTCCCCTCCTGCGCTGTCCCTCCACCCTCCCAAGCATGATGTCCCTCTCCAAGGACCTGTCCCTCCTGGCAACATGTCCAAAGTATGTCAGACGAAGCCCCAGAATCCTTGCCTCCAAGGAGTAGCTTGGTTTAATCCTCTCCAAGATGAATCTGTTTGTTTTCCTCGCAGTCCATGGTACATTCAGTACCCTTCTCCAGCACCACAGCTCAAAAGCATCCACTCTCCTTCTGTCCTCCCTAGTCATTGTCCAACTCTCTGATGCATAACAAGCAATTGCAAATACCATGGCCTGTATCAGGCGCACCTTAGTCTCCAGAGAGACACTGTTGCTCCTGAGTACCTTAGAGAGGTCCCTAACAGCAGACTTTCCCATCGCGATACGCTTTTTGATTTCCTGACTGCTGGTACCAAGAGTGTTGACTGTGGAGCCGAGCAAACTGAAGCTGTGAACACTCTCAATCTCTTCGTCATCCATCCTGACGCTGCTAATTGGTCCAGTGGCGAGAATCTTTGTCTTCTTGACATTGAGCCTTAGTCCATACTGAAGGCTGCAGTTCTTGACCCTTCGCAGCAAGTGCATGAGGTCCTCCTCAGTTTCAGCAAGCAGGGTTGTGCCACAATTCTCCTCGTAGAGCCCAGCCTCTCGGATAATCTGCTCTGCATACATGTTGAAAAGGTATGGAGACAGGATGCATCCCTGGCGTACACCCTTCCCAATTTTGAACCATGCAGTGTTACCCTGCTCTGTTCTGACTACTGCCTCTTGGTCCAAGTATAGGTTTCGTATTAGCACAATTAATTACCAGTATAATTTATTTTTTTTAAAGAATAACATCTTTCCACTCTTTTACTTATTTTTGTTTTGTGTGTGTGTGTGTGAAAACCCTATGCACAACAAAAAAACAAAAATAAGTAAAAGAGTGGAAAGATGTTATTCTTTAAAAAAAATAAATTATACTGGTTTACATACAAAGTTCATATACATTGTTTTCACACCCATCAAATTGTGCTGCCCTCTGTTTAAGCATCCCCACTCCCCTCCTTGGATCCTCGTACACGCTCTACAATAATGGTCCTATCTATACAGTATTTTTGAGACACTTAGTTCCTTTAACAATGCTCTCCAGTCCTTCCCTTGTTAGGTTGTAATTAACAAAATCCTTGCTCTGCCTGCTACATAATATTCCATTGTGTGAATGTACCATAATTTCTCAATCCATTCAGTTGTGGTTGGACATTTAGGCTGTTTCCATGTTCTTGTGATGGTGAATAATGCTGCTATGAACATTGGTTTACAAGTCTCCGTTTGTGCCTCAGTTCTCATTTACTCAGTATATTCCAAGCAGTCGAATAGTTGGGTCATATGGAATCTCTAATGTTCAACTATTTGAGGAAACACCAAACTGGTTGGTTGTACCATTAAAATCTCACCAGCAATGTATAAGAGTTCCTATCTTGCCACATCCTCTCCAACATGTATTATTGGTGCCCTGTTAAACTTTGCCACTGCTACTGGAGTGGGATGGTATCTCATTGTGGTTTTGATTTGCATCTCCCTTATTGCTAGTGATTTTGAGCATTTCTTCATGTGTCTGTTGGCCATCCAAATGTCCTCCCTCCTCTGTGAAAAGTCTTTCCGTGTCATTTGACCTTGTCATTGTGTGATCAGTCTTTTTCTTGTGGAAGCCCTTGTAGGATTCTGTAAACTTTGTTAATGAGCCCCTTGTCTGAGATGGTATTGCCAAACAGTTGTTCCCGTTCAGTAGGTTTTCTTTCCACCCTATTGGAAAAAGGTTTTGATGAGCACAGAGATTTACAGAGGTCCCTTTCATCAATTTTTTCCTCTTCAGAGTGTGTATTTCGGGCTATATTTGGCAGTCCCTTCATACTGTAGACTAGGCCTTTTAAGCTTGGTTCCATTTTGTCTCTTACGAGCTTTATGGTTTTGAGCTCTATTCCGAGGTCTCTGATCCACCTTGAGTTGATTTTTGTATATGGTGTGAGATGTGGATCCTTTTTCAGCTTTCTGCTGATAGCAGTCCTGTTTTGCCAGCACCATATGTTGAAGAGGTTATCATTTCCCCATTTGATGGGTTTGATTTCCATGTCGAATATCAGTTGCCTGTAGATAGATGGGTCCAAATCTGGGTTCTCAATGCTGTTCCATTGGTCTGTGTGCCTGTCATTGTACCAGGTCCATGCTGTTTTGTTTATTGGCACTGTGTAGTAGGTTTTCAAGTCAGGGAGTGCTATGCCTCACACTTCTTTTTTTTTCCCCAGAAGTACTTTGCTTTTTCGGGATCTCTTTCCTCTCCAAATAAACTTGACAATTTCCCTTTCAATCTCCTTGAAAACTTAATTTGGTGTGTGTATTGAGATTGCATTGAACATGTAGGTTGCTTATTGTCATTTTCACAATATTGTGTCTTCCTAGTCTTAGAAGAAAAATGGCCCACAAATAAATGGTGGTCCATCTCCCTAATTTAAAATACAAGTAAGCAATGTGATACCATTTTTACCTATAATATTGTCAACATTTGATAAGATCCCTAAGGTCAACAAGAGAATTGCTAGATTCTTTCATATTCTGGTAGTGAGTGAATATGTCATTGTTATGAAGCATCAAGTGGGAACTGACTCAGCTGAACTTACAAGCTGTAAATCAGAGGCTGTAAATCACACAGAAGATTACCCATCTTTCTCCACAGAGCAACTGATGGATTTGGACTATGTGCCTTTGGGTTGGCAGTATGACTCCTTAGTACTAAGCCACCAGACCTCTCTCATTGATAGTCTTTTTGTCCAGAAGATCTTAAGGTGGAAACTTGAAACTTCTTGCTGAAACTCTGGTGACCTCATTTCTGGAGAAATTATTACTTGTAAGTGACTTTGATGACCTGTTGGTGTCTCACTTTTCACCTTGACTGCAGTCAGGAGGGCAAAGCTGGAGGGCAGCTGACGTGGGTCAGTGGTGAGAAAGGGAGTGATTAGTTGGCAGCTTTGCCCTTTGCAAGGGAACTCGGCATTAGGGTGGTTCCTGCACCCTCACAGCTACATACCTGCTTCCCAAGCCACTACCTAAGGCCCGAGCTTAACAATAAAGGCTCTCCAGACCAGAGCCTGCTGAGGGGGGAACACTGTTCCCTCAGGACTCCTTCCAGAGCTAACTTTCCTAAGAACAGCTTGGCTGGGAAGCTAACACAGTTTCAGAAAACTATTTTCCTGACAAGCCCAGATTCTCTTGATGTGACAAACTTTCTCTGGTGAAAAGACAGGAAAGATAAAGCAGGTGGTAGTTGAGACTCCTGGGATGTGGAGACCTTGTAGAGTTCTGTGGGGAGCCTCAGGCCAGCCCCCAGCTGCTCCTCTGCCATGGGACAGAGGCAGGCTTAAGCAGAG